AAGACACCCGCAATCCGAAGATACAGCATAAACCCTACGACACGATTCTCCTTTTCTTTGGCCAATAATCCACCGCATAGCGCGCCTATAATTCAAACAAAAGGCAGCTACTAACCACACTGTCCACGGCTTGCGCTCACGGCGAGGCGCTGTGGCTCGCAGGGTGATTAGGCATCAACGCAACACTCGGCGAGATAACCTTTGACCCGGTACACAGCTACAATGTATGCCTTATGTCATACCGGCATGCCGGCAATACAGCTGGCATGCCCCCATACCACGCACGCACGCCAATCCGCTATCAGCAGCAGATCGGATTCAAATCTCCCTGCGAGCCACAGCGCCTATCGCTGTATCTTCGGATTGCGGGTGTCTACGAGGAAACGATTTGGTACGATGATGGGCGAATGTACTGTGTCCGATTTGAGTTCAAGTTGGATGAGTTACGCGTAGTAAATCGTAGGTATTATAAGGCTAGTAAATGACGAATTTCCCTTGCTTAATGGTGTCACACTCCTCCCTATTATGCACTCCTGATATATATATATCTATGGTCTAGCCAAGTCAAGTGACCAGTAATAGTATTACTATTATTAATTTTAGTTTTTACTGGTAGTGACTAGTAGACTAGTGTCAGTAGTGACTATACTACTAGTACTAGTACTACTACTAGTACTACTAGTACTAGTATAGCTCTAGTACTATAGCCGCTTACATGAACTGCCGCTGGCGGCCTGCCAGCGGCAGTTCATGTAAGCGGCTATAGTACTAGAGCTAGTACTAGTACTACTAGTGATACTCACTGATACTGATAGCAGTTGGTACCTAAGGCTGAGTCAGCGATTAAACTGTTGACAGTTGCTAAAAACGCTGACAAACAGAAACACTGCCTACAACATGTAGCGTATATCTTTGTACACGCTACACTAGCCAGACTCCAGAATCACTCGTCTACTGTCGTTGATCACTCAACGGCTTATGCCGATGGAGTCAGTCTACTGGGGGCTGCCATAATAACCTGTATCTTTTTTATATTAGATGGGAACCCTGTCAATTAACTTCGTTCTTTTATTTTATATTACAAAAAGAAATAGACACGGGGCCAGTCTAGTAGTCGCTTCACCGTCTACTTGTCGTATTCCTTGAGCAAGCAGAAGCCGATACCCCGTCCCATCAAGTGTGAGACCTACCCATGTATGTTAATAGAAGAATATATGTATTTTTCAACATTAGCTCTATTCTTTTACGGTAGCTTCTCTTGGACTTTGAAAATAGTTATTAGGCAGTGAGCAATACCACAGGTGACCGGTTTAAACGGCAAGCTTTGGCTAAAGAATTATTGGTTACCTCTCACATGATCGGTTTGATGTGTGGTGTTGACATTGAGATAAATATTGCATCAGATAATTCATTTCCATTCATGGCTATTAATAAAATTATATTCAAACGAACAAATAATTTAATTCAACTATAAATTACGAATGAATTTATTAGATTAACAAGTTTTTCCAAAGTTATTACATTTCACGAGACATTTCTCACGTTAGCGAATAAGCAAGCAAAGTAAGGATTGTCGTCGGCGGCTTGTTGCCAAAATGTCTTTTTCTACCGTTAAAACACTTTCTCATGTGTATAGATCGTTATTATCAGGTGTACGGCAATTCACAGCACTCTCTACAAATGTAAAAGTGATTCTACCCACGTGTGCGCGCTCGGAAACGCGTCTTTTTTCTACACTCACCCGGCAAGCATGGAGCAATACGGGCGCCGCCATGATGGTTTCTGGACCTAGTCGTCTTACTCAGACAGGATTTGGAGCGTGCAACTGTGGTGGATGTTGCGGGGTTCATACAAAAAGTAAGTAGCTCATTAGTAATGTTGTTTGTGATTAAAATTGCAGTCAGTACAGTTGGTGGCCTTGCTAGTGCTAGTAGTCGAATAATAACTGCTAGCTCCAAGAAACGGTATTGACTGTCACTATTGCCAGTATTGGGACTATTGCTAGGGTTAGAATAGACAATCCGTCGCACAGCCTGGTCGGGCTAAATAACTGCATGCTTGTCTGCCCTTTCGTGCCCCCTAGTAAGTGCGATCTTACGTTTACTTTGTAATAATATATTTATAGCATGCACGAAACTTTTCTTTGCATTTGAATGTCTACCAATACCATTTAATTTGTTCAGGCGATAAAGATTTGTCAGAGTTTTTGACCGAGGAAATCGAAGCAGAGAAATCTACAGTGCAGCAGCCTGGCCTTCCAAATGTAGATGGTTTTGACATCAGCACAGATGGCTCTGTTGTGACAATGGTGAAGGCATTCAATTCTGAAAAGTAAGTTTGTAGCAGTTAATTATGTACGTAATTATGCATGTGTTATGTAATCCAGTCTAACAATTAAGGTGTAAGTTTGGCGGACATACGTTTTTGAAACATTAGCTGCATGGCTATAGGAGTGTTTCATGTTGATAAAACATTGACGTCATATGTGCACATGCGCAGTTTAACGGTTGGCAGCAAGCAGATGCGTGATATTGTTCGATACAAGCACACTCACGCACGCACGTACACGCACGCATGCACGTATGTGTACATGAACATGCATGCACGCACGCACGTGTACTTGCGCACGCACGTACGCACGCACGCACATATGTACACACGTGCACCTACACACGGACGCACGCACAAACGTGTACCTGCACGCGCGCGCACGCATGCACGCACGTGTAAGTTCACACGCACGCATGTGTACGTACGCACGCACGCACGTGTACGTTAACACGCACGCATGCACGCACGTGTAAGTTCACACGCACGCATGTGTACGTACGCACGCACGCACGTGTACGTTAACACGCACGCATGCACGCACGTGTAAGTTCACACGCACGCATGTGTACGTACGCACGCACGCACGTGTACGTTAACACGCACGCATGCACGCACGTGTAAGTTCACACGCACGCATGTGTACGTACGCACGCACGCACGTGTACGTTAACACGCACGCATGCACGCACGTGTAAGTTCACA